AATCCACCATTAATAGAGGTTTCGAGCAAGAATGACGGAGACGATGGCGTCCGGTTGCCGGTGTATGATGGAGTCGCGGCGGCGCTTCAACGGGCCTCGCCGGTGTGTCCCGCAATTTTCGAAGTCCGCGCCGGCATTGACATGGAGGTTCACCTGCTTTGTGACTGAGGGTGGTGCAGGTTTCCGGCGGGACAGTGTGGACGGCAGCCGGCGGTGGTAATTGACGGCAACCCCACGGTGGAAAGTGCCGGCGGTCGTGCTGTGTGTGTATGTGTGCATATCGTGTGTGTGTGTGTGTGTGTGCGAGAGACAGTCGTGTGTGTTGTGTGTGTTCTGTGTGTGTTCTGTGTGTGTTGTGTGTGTTCTGTGTGTGTTGTGTGAAAGTACTGCACGTGGTTATACTCGTGTTTTCCAATGTGCAAGTACTGCACAATGAGCGAGTACTTTGTGCAAGTACTGCACAATGAGCATCCTATTCCAAGAGAAATTACGAAAATACCATACGATGAGATAATTTTGAATTTTTTTTAGGCATTAGATCATTTGATCTAATGGCTAAGATGTATTCTTATTTCTTTTATTAAGCTTCATTTTCACCGGAGCGCGACCCTATATATATATACATATATATATATATTTAAATGTGCATCTTAAGTATGTTTTACGTTTATCATTCACCAACTCGATATAGGACATTTATTAATTTTATCATTGTTTTTTTTATTTTTAGATGAAATGCGAGCTATAAAATTTTTCATTGTGTAGTCATACTTTTTTATTACTTAGAACACATTCTTACCCCTTGTTTAGATATTAAAATGCTAGTAAAATAATTAAGAACTTTTCAGCCTAGAATGTATCTTTTTTTCTTTTTTATTTTAAAAAATACCAATTATCATAAATTAAATGATAATTACGTTGAATGTGTTATATTTTGTATCATTATCGACAATTCCCAAAATAATTAATTGGACACAATATTATATGTAATGCAAAATGTTTAGTTTGATTTGGAGCTATACTTTTACTACAAAAAAAAAATGATAAAATTCCAATGAAAAATGTTACAACATAATTTCAACAATAATTCTAACGAATATTTCAATATTACTATTATGGTTTGAATGTTTCAATGAAGATTCTAACAAAACCATTTTGTTGGAATCATGGGCAAATCTATGTCCAAACTATTTAAATATCATTCTCTTTACAAGTATAACCACGTGCAGAAAAAGGATACCACTAGCATGAGATTGTCATCGACTACTTAGCCTTCCACAAATCAGCCAAACATTATCTTTTTTGTTAAAGTCATAAGTGGCAAAATAAGCATAGATACAAACTAACTAGTTTACCAGCCTCTCATTACCACTGCGTGCTATCAAAAACCATCTCACTTGGATGTAAACACATATTCTACAGCTCAGCAACAGTTTATTTGTTGTGTCCTTCATTCTCTCAACCTTGAAGCTAAAACGGCCTCCAGGATATTACAGACCCTCCATAAATGAACAAGGGTAATAATGTATAAGAGGAAATATACCTTCAGTATCCTTAATAGCTTGCTCCATTGAATTGATTACATCTTCAAGCAAAGGAACTCCCATACGGTAATTCAACGAATTACCATAGACTTTCAGTACAAAGACCTCCAAGTCATCTGTCCACTCCAGCAAACCAACCTACAAAGGACATATTGCCCAGTTGATGGCATAAAGAAGAACAGAAGGGGCTTACCTAACCTTTAACATATTCTCTTACATGCTACCATAGAAAGGCTTTCAGAGGAAGTACACTCATAAATGAAATATTTTTAATAATCCAAATTATCAATCAAGCCATTTACTCAACATTGGAAGGCGGAAAAGAAAGTGCAGGTACCTCATCTAGAGTGAACAGAGCACACTTGATCAGTTGTATTCAATAGAGAAGCTTCCTACAAGTCACATAAATTCAATATTCATGCACCCTGAATGCGTTACATGTACATGGCAAGACGTAACTACCTGTTTGCACAGAAACCACAGCAATGAAACATCTTTTCGAGTGAAATTCAGACCCCGACCCGTAACTAATGCTTGAGTTATTTCATCTAGCACAGGTTCCTTGAGCTTATCCACAAATGGTGCTTGACTTTTCCTGAACGCCTTTATTCAGAAAAAAATAAAATAAAATAAAAAATAAAAAAAATAAAAAAAAAATCATAAAATGGAAATAGTTTTTTAACAAGGAATCCTGGTTTTCTGATGGAGACGAGATCGCAATGACATTTACGGACAAATATGATCGTTTACCATCCTTAGTTTAATTATTATTTTCCTATCTATTTATTATTATGCTTTATTCCCTTTCCCTAGTTAGTAGATGAATAATTTATGGTAATTAGGATTTTTACTTATTAGCAAATTAGGGAATTAGCTTTGTTAGGACTCTATATATTGTCTTCTCCTTCTCAAAGACGATCAGACGTTTATGAAATAATTTATCAGATTGAGTTTTCTCATCTTGTTCCCTTTTCATTTACGCTGCGCTACATCACTTTCCCAGAATCTTAACTAGCAGAGAAACAAAATTATTCGTCATGAACCTGGGGTGAAAGTGAAGGTTCATACAAAACAAAATTAAGTTTTAACGTAAACGTTACACATATTTGATTGGATAAGACCAGCGTCTACTCTATTGATCTAAACAATTTAAGTAGTGCCATATTAATTGCAGCAATTGAACATCGTAATTTCTATACATCTAAGAACAACCTGCTGGACAAAGCCCAAAACAACTCATGCAAGCAAGTATGCTGATGTCCTTAATTAAGGAAATGGAAGGTGGACCAAGTGCCAGACACAGGTACAAGTACCAGTAATATAAGCAATATAAACACGCACGTGACAGATGCGTACACAAATATGGCATTCCACAAACTCTTCAGGAGTGAGATGGATCAATTGCACATACACATACATGTACCAGTACTATATAAGCAGGCACGTAATAGAGGCATACACCAATAATGCATTCCCACAAACTCTTCAAAAGTGATTTTACCTTGTAGTTTTGACAACAATCGTGGAATCTCAACATTATGTCACTTGCACGGCTTTCACTGGTAACTGCAAAAGCTCGAGTACATCCCGGACCAAGATTTCCACGACCGCTGAAGAGGCCCAAGCCAAAAGCTACAGCACTAGCCGAGGCTCGTGAAATCTAATAAATCCATAACAAACAAAAGTTCTAGCACGGGTAAGCTACCAATAAAAATACTCAAGCTATGGATAGAATTAGAAAGTATCTAACCAGTACCAAAAATAACAATACATGGACACATTATTAACGTGAACTAGCAGCTTGCGAATCACAACATGCAATTTAAGGATAAGAGCCCTGAAAAAATTTTCAAGTGACTTTCCACGAAAACGGGACATGACATAAATAGACGGGAAAAGCCTCCTCATTTGAAAAATGAATACAACTAATAAATGGCAAACCTGAGTGGCTTTAATTGGATAGATATCAGGATGGTAATCCTCATTAAACAATTCTAACCTTTCTCTGGTCCTGGTGGTCCTGGTTCATACAGTTCATTTTCTCCTTCACTTATCAACTCTCCACCTTTATATTTTCCTGTCCACGGAGATTTCAATCCACGTAGCCATGAAAGAACCACACTTACACTCTGCTTCTTCATATTTTCTAAAAGGGCTTCCAGGCGAGTGGACAAGGAATCAAGTTCTTTCATCTTTTTCTTGGTAGGAGCTCGAGTTCCATGCCTTGCCTGCCAACTGAATCATCACACCGAGTAATTGTGGCACAGTGCATACATATGACAAAACATGGAGAGTGCAAAAAATTTCATTAATTAATGACGGATCTAAAGTCTCTTAAACAAAGATTTACAACCTACAAATTATAAATTCCATCAACAGAGCAAGTCAGATAATGGGCAAAATGACATGTGACCTTAGATTGGTCAAGCAAATGAGCATATATGATCAGTATCCACAAATCAACTACATAAACCATATTGTTCCCATGCAGTTTCAATACACATAAACTACTAAAGCACTTAAAATCGAACTACAACTAATTACCACCAATTCAGTGCTATCAGAATCTCCACAAATATAACTTTAAAACCACCACAGTGAAAACACTTCTTCATATATACCATATAACCAAGGCATGATCAGAGAACAAATAAGCCACTACTAATTACTCAAATCAAACAAATTGTGTAAGAATTACCACAAGATTTAAGTGGACAGGTCTACACTGATCAGGAATTGTTGAAGGAATATATGAATTTTCAGAAATATCCTTAGCGACTTGATATCTGCATAGAAGACGAAGATATGCATACAAATGAGCTTAGAAAAAATTACTCAATCCAAAAAATTTGAAAAAACAAAATCGCGACAATTACTTTATGCTTCTAATTAAACACGCCATGGGATACACTGCAATTTTTGATTAAATTCCAGAAAATTAACATCCTACAAATTGAAGAGCGAGAAGAAGTGAGAGAGAGACCTAGTAACGGTGGATAGATGGCGGCGGACGTCGAAATTTTCTCCGGAAACGGAAAGAGGAACGGCTGTGGCGATAAACAAGAGCATGAGCAATACGATCTGTGTAGCAGCTTCCATGGCTTCTCGAAAGAGTATAGGGGGTTTTCTCGCACTTTTTATAGACTCTGTAAATTTGTAGATTTTGAAAAGAAAATGAGAACGTTGTCCCGAAAAAGTTTCAACTGGTTACACGTGGCGAAACACTAATGGGTGAGTGATGGTGAAATATTATTTTTGTTGTAACTTTATTGTTTCTGTGACATGGTGGAAACTGGAACGTATTATTGCAGTTTAAGTTATTAGCGAGATCATGAAAACCAGAAGCTTTTATTTTTACTTTTTTTTGGCGATAAGAGCATCCAAAGCATCGTGTTTTTTTGTTCTTTCCAAAACGATAGGTTTTATAGCTCCAACATTTTGTACAAAGAGGATGGACTAAGTAGCACAATTCACAACCAACAGGTTGATCACGAGGAACATACAAATGCCCTAGCAAACAAAACACCTGAAACGTAGGTAGGTTCATAATCCTTGGCTAGAATCAAAGGTTATGTTCCCAGCTACACAAAACAGCATCCAAAAGGAACTAGAATACTGGCTAAAGCCCTAATCTAGATCAACTACAACCAAAAAATATAAAACCGACACAACCAGAAACTAAGACTAGTAACTAACTAAGAAAGTGAAACAGAAAAAACATTAAACAGTTGCACTACAGATTCATCACACCACAATCATCCACAAACTTTGCCAAATTCCAACCATTCTTCAACAGCATTGTTAATCACATTTCTTTCAGGTCTCCACAGGTGTTGGAATACCCATAGATTCCATACTTTCCAAATCCACCATAGCAAATAGACAGTAAATTGGATTCTGACTTCATTTGTTGCTGCTTGAGGTATAGCACAGAGGGATGACCACCAGTGAGAGAAGCTTGTCTGAGTGCGCAGAGGTGCTAACTCCCAGATCTTTACAGTTTTGGGACATGTGAAGAATAAGTGATACATTGTTTCTGCTGCTTCTCCACAAACCTGACATCTAGTGTCCATGATTACTCCTTTCTTGGCAAGGTTGACATTAACAGGCAATATGTTGCTGAGACACTTCCAAATGAAGTGTCTCAGTTTCCCTTTGATTTTCAAGTTCCATAGCCGGTTCCTCATTCTCTTAGCCTCTGATTGTCCTTTGCTTGACTCTACAATATCCAGATTTTTCCACTTCTGAGTCACCAAGTAATCATATGCTGCTGCTACTGGGTGTTTTCCATTTTTACCACTATGCCAAACCAGTCTGTCCTCTTCTCCTGGTTTTAGGCTTCCAATTTTCAGTATTGCAGTTTGCTCCTGTTCAGTAAAAATATCTTGCAGGATATGCCTCTTCCAATTCCTACCTGTCACATCAATTAAATCACTCACCATTCTGAGGTTAGAGTTGGGTGTTAATCTGCTCAAAGGTTTAAAACCAGGAAGGTCAGGAATCTAGGGATGCTCAAAGATTTTGATTTTAGAGCCAGTCTTCACTTCATATCTCAATTCCATGTGGGCAGAATCCCTGACTTTAATACAGCTATGCCACATCCATGACCCTGTTTGTTTAGGTGTGACTGTGAAGAAGTTGTCCCTTGGGAAATATTTTGCCTTCAAACATCTGCTCACCAACAGATTTGGTTGGGTAAGTATTCTCCAGATTTGTTTTGTTTGGTAATTAGAGCCTTGTTCATCAACTGGATATCATGAAATCCAATTCCCCTTTGTCTTTTGGCAATGTCATCAAATTCCATGCTTTCCAATGGATGTGTTCTCTATCAGAGTTACCTGTGTTCCACCAGAAGGCAGCAAAATGTCTTGCAATATTTGCACACACAGATTTGGGAATTAGGAAGCAAGACATGGAGTATACAAGGAGAGCATTCAGAACTGCTTTGAGGAGAACCTCTCTACCAGCTGTAGAGAGGAATTTATTTTTCCAGTTCATGACTCTTTTCAATTGCAGTAGATATGAATGTGAATGTGTCAATTTTGTTACTCCCAATGCCTAGAGGAAGACCCAGATACCTTGATGAGTTTTGGGGTGTAATACCCAGCAGGATGTTGCAAATGGAATTTTTTAGGGCTGGAGAGCTGTTTTTGCTGAAGAATATTCCGATTTGGAGAGGTTGACCTTTTGGCCTGTTATTTTTTTATAGTCAGCAAGGATATTGAGAAATGTTTGGGCTTGTGAGGGTTCCGCTTTGGCAAAGAGTAATGTATCATCAGCAAAGAATAGGTGGGAAAGTTTAGGGCCATTTTTTGAGAGTTGAATTCCTATGAGAGCGCCTTTTTGGTTTTCCATATTGATCAGGTGGGTGAAAATTTCTGAGACCAAAATGAAGACATAAGGGAACATAGGATCCCCTTGTCTTATGGGAGTAACATAACCACACACCTCCCCATTCACATTAAATGAAAATGATGCAGATGAAATGCAAGAGATAATCCAGTTAACAAACACAGAGCAAAACCCAAGTTTCAGCATAATCAGACTCACACTTTTCCATTCTATTCTTCTATTCTGTCAAAAGCTTTTTCCATATCTAGTTTCAGAGCCATATAAGAGTGAGGACCTGTTCTATGTCTGTTTAAGAAGTGAATAATTTCCTGTCCCAAAATAACATTATCAACTATTTGTCTGTTAGGAACAAAAGCAGCTTGATTCTCACTAATGCAAATAGCTTGTCTGAGTCTTTGGGCTAGCAATTTTGAAATGACCTTGTAGGTTACACTACATAAGCTTATAGGCCGAAAATGAGAGACTTGCTCAGGATTTTGAATTTTAGGAATGAGTGATCAGAGTGTGGTTAATGCTTTTGAGAATTCTATCATATGCAAAAAAACTTCTCACAAGAGCAAATGAGGGACCAGAATTTTTGAAAAAACAGAGAAGTCATACCATCAATTCCAGGGGATTTTCTGGGGTTGATACTGAAGAGGGCTGCTTTTATTTCATCATCCCCAATGGGTGCTGTGAGTTTAGAGTTCAGGTCTTGTGTGATGTCTTGTGTGATAACAGGGTTAACTTCTTGTACCAGCCTTTCTCCTTCATCAGATCCCATACTACTGAACTGGTCATAGTGTAATATGAAGAGAATAATGGTTAACTTGTGAACTAACAAGTGGTGAACTGTTGAAGGACGAGTTGTCGGTTAACAGTTACACAACATTAGACCCATACTACTGAACTATTCTTACGGCAAAAGCATTGGAACAAGTTTAACACACTCCAAGTAGTTGTGGTTTATGCTCGTTTGCCCATTTTCATATATGTTGCACAATCCCTAAATCACATGCATAGAAAACTTTATATTATTCTGAAACATCTTCATGGAAGGATGAGTTATAGTGTTCTAACCGCGAGAATATAACAATTAAAATCTCAGGCAAGGAAATCCCAATCCCTCAAACCAAGCCTGCTCGTCAAAATATAAGAATTACCTTGTCAAGAGTTTGAGTGTTAAGCACATATGCTGGAGGAGCAACCAGCTTAATTTTAACGGGGCAATCTTTGTTGCCAGCAGATTCAGCTCTACGCATTGCTACCTGCAAAATTCATCTCAAATCAATACTTGCAACAAAGAAGCTCGCCTTGTAATAGGATACAAAAAATCCTGAAATTGAAGGATTAAGAGACCTTTATGTGCAGGACCCCATCAAACTGAAAACATTTCATTTCAATATCGGCACGAATCTTTAAAGGTTGTGGCGTCATTCTTCTCCTAATATTCTTCACTAAAGCATACTTCATCAGTTATAGCCGGAGCCACCTTCTTCACCTACAAACGATAGATAGATAGATAGAATCGGATAAAATAGCCATACCATCACTCTGGATTTAGTGCTAGGCAACTTGAACATCACTGAGATATGAAAACTACCTCTTCTCCATCAGGACCCACTTCTTTGACTTCACGAGTGAGGGAATCAAGGATCGAATCAGGATCGTTGACAATCAATTTGAACGCCTGGAGTTCCAAATAAAAACACAAAAGAATTAAGACAACCATAATATCAAAGCTGAGGCGATTCATCATGGAAAATTCTACATCAGTAGATAAAATTACCTCAAATGCGTGGACATATTTCCTGTACAAAGGCCAGCCGACATGGATATAAAGATCCTACAATAAAGCAGCATAAGCCATAGTAAACTAAACCATAAATCCCTGAGCAAATCGACGCCAAAAACAATACACAATACACGGGAACCTACAAATATGATATCAATACAAAAGCAGGACTAATATAAAATGCCAAAGACAAGAAACATAAGACGCCAATTGGAATAAATTCAAATTTAGCACATGCTATAACCAAACATATTTGTGAGAGTTATAAAACTACACAGTTCTTCTAGAATATCGCCCCAAATTTGAGAAATTGCTGGAATCCATACAATAAAACAATAAAAGTGGAAATTCAAAATTTCCAATGTACATGATTAAAAATTGAAGGGAAGAGAAATAAGAAAAAGAAAAATCAGAAAAAATCCAACCTCGAGGTCAAGGCTCAAGGTCTCAGCAACATGTCGCATAACCGAGTGAACGAGCTTGCTCTTATTGTACCTTTCCTCGCACGCCTGAATATCCTCTTCCGACACACGCCTCTTGCTCAGATCAATGTACCCCTTCTCTTTATTGACACGGAGCACCATGACGGGCTCGATGCGGCCGACCTTGATTAGGCTGCTGATGCTACGGATACGGCGGCGAGAGAGCTCGGAGAAGAGAATCATGCCCTCGATGTTGTACTCGAGGAGTGAGACGTACGCGCCGCTGTCGGCCATGCTTTTCACCTGTATCATCACCGCCTGGTCCACCTCCGGGTACCTAGCCTCATACATCCTACATTCTAGACTCGTCATTCTTCACTGATTGATGGTTTCAGTTTAGGAGTTTTTTTATGGAGAATTTGGTTTTGTGGGAATTTTAGAGCGAGATAGTTTTGAGACATAAAGATTTACCTAACCCTTATATAGGAAGGATAATCCGCCTAAATAAATAATTCGGATTTACTTACTCTGGGATTTTTATTTTTTTTAGAATATATATTTGGAGATGATTTAAATTTAAATAAGAATGATAAATATATGTTAAAGGATGATTTAAAATACGAATAAGAAATATATGTGGATGGTGATTAAATTTATATAAGAATAAAAATATTATAATGTTATTTTAATAACTTTAGGATATAAAGTATTTTCCAAATAATATAATATGGGTTTTCTGCAAATAAATTTTATTTTTGATTAAAGGTAGATATGTATAAAAACAATATTATTAATATTATTATATAATTGAAATGTTTTTCTTTTTGTTGGTAATATTTTTGGGCAAGTAATAACCGAGTTACCCGACTCGGGTCGTTCTCTAAGGAAGGTTAGCCGGATTAAATTGTATGTTTATTCAATTCACAAAAGAGAAAATATTCCTAAACATTCTAATTCAATTTAATAATGGGGTTTCAAACTAAATTAAAAGTAACATAAATGCTATCATTTTACTCGGAAAACCTTTCAAATGATAAAGTCGTTTTACTAGTAAATACTTTCTAACGATAAAATCGTTTTACTCGTAAATACTTTCAAACTAAAATTTGTTCTACTAGTAAAAACTTTCAAACAAATAAATTGTTCTACTAGTTAAATACTTTCAAACTATAAGTTGTTCTACTAGTAAAAACTTTCAAACAAATAAATTGTTCTACTAGTTAAATACTTTCAAACTATAAATTTTTAAGGAAGAAAAGAGAATAACTAAAATGACAAAGATATGTTTTAATAAATGTAAAAGTCTAGGGTATTGGGGATAATCAATTCCGGTTTTATTAACATTTATCGGTAATTAAATTACTCAGTTAAACGATTCACTTAATTTACTCATCTAGAGGTTTATCCGTACTAACTCTCGTAATATACGAATAAACTTAAATAAATGAATTAGTGGAACGGTTAACACATAAACAATACGTTTCCGAACATGTCTATTCTAAACAAATCAAGTTCTATCAACTTCGCCCCTTTCGGTTATGAAATCGATTATGTAGATTAAAATGGTGATCAAACATTTAACCATAATATTAATAAAATTTGTAAAGATTGAGCAATAAAAATACTTATAAACGATAATAAACCGAAACGATTATCCCCTAACCCTAGTTAGGAAATTAGTTACTCATAGTAATTTTAACATACAAATTCTTATGTAAATAAACCATTATAAACATAAAATAAAAAGAAAACTTACTAGTAATCCACAAGCTAGAGCAAGTACAAACTTAATGTCCAAACTTCAACAATCTTCAACAATTTAATCTTACAAATTCAAACTTACAAATGTAGTAAAAATAGAAATGTGGAAAGATAAAATGATATGGAAAAATTCATGCTATTTTGTTTGATGATAATGTTGCTATTTATAGATATAAATAGCATACTAACATCAACTACATCAACCAAAGTTCAACAATACTTCAACCACCAAGAAAAATGCAAGAAAAGGTTAAAGAAGATAGGAAAAATGAGAGAAAGGTTGGAATTTTCGGACAAAATCCGAGAGTGCTTTTTCCGCGCGCATTCGCGCACATCTCGGGCAGCTCTGCTTCTCGGGCTCGTTTTGGGCTCGTCCGAACTCGGAATTGAGTTCCGTTTTTTTCTACGCGTTGTTAACGAACCCCTCTATTCAATGATGTATGCCAATACAAATTTCACCCAGAATAAAATTATCTAAGGATTTTTAACTTCCAAGGTGTCGGCAACTCGCTCGATTTTACTCTTTGGTTCCGTACGAACTCATCCGAACTCGAAATCGAGTTCCGCTTTTTCCTGTGTGTAGCTAACAAGCTCCTCTTTCCATTAATGTTATCATGCTCAATAACTTTCCAAAATCCTGCTCTTCCGAGATTTTCGACCGTTCCTTTATTTTACAAATACTCGAAAAATACAAGAAAAATATACAAAATTCCACACAAATACTTAAATATTACAAATTACTAAATAAACTAAAAACTACCCAAAATCCCACAAACTTACTAAAAATACATAAAAATAATAATAAAAAACATTAATAAAAACATAACAAAAATAACACTAACACTTATGTCTTGTCATCTATGTAATGGTAAATTCTCAGCCATATCCACACGACAAAGATCTTCCTCGGAAAATGATTGTAATTACATTTTTGGGACTTAAAATTTAATATTTAATATTTTTCTTATTTCTTATGTGTTTTAAGAAAAATTGTTTACAGGACTTAATATCTTATCATTGTAAGAAGATCTTACTCGGAAAATGATTGGTATCCTTCTGTTAAAACAAATTTGTAAGCTAATAACTTCTTAATCTAGAATATTGTAACTACATTTTTGGAAAATTAATGACAGTTCTAAACAGTTTATTATTTATTAACTCAGCCGAAGACCCTGTACAACGCGCGAATACAACATTCACAATCACCGAAAATCCCACAGTAGAAGGGCCAGCTATTTGAGTTTAAGACAAAGTTGAAGACAATAGGTGTAAAATAAAAGAAAAAAGGGCTTAGAAAATTATCTAACAGTTTATAAATTAAATGACTATTCATAATTACACCAGCTTGTAAATCTCATAACATAGGAAAACACGAGAATAACTAGCTTATCGCCATTGGAATAAGATGCTCATTGTGCAGTATTTGCACAAAGTACTCGCTCTTGTTGTTTGTTGGGCAGCTGTACAGAACGAGCATGTTATTTCCAGCAAATGGTGCCACTGTGCTGCCACGCCAGATTCTCTTTTGGGGTGGTTTGACAGGTAGGTTCAGAGTTTTTTCACTTAGTATTTGTTCAAAATCTGAAAGCCCACAAAAAACAATTCAAAAGTTCAACCCCAAAGGCTGGAGTCACGGAAACATATATATATATATATATATATATATATATATGTATACAAAGTTAGAGGGAACACAATGAAGATACTAAACAATTAGCTAGCCTACCCGTTCCATCAAGAAATAGCCCGATCAAACAGGAAAATGGAAGTAGTGTTTCTGCATGGGCAAACCTTACTCTGGCCAATTCATAGCTCCCATGAACACGTCCATCTAATAAACGAGAAGAAGGTAAAACAGAGAGCGCGGAAAAGAATACACGGATAAAAATTAACGGAAACACTTAACTAAAATAAGGATTCCAATCACAGAGGCAAGAACTTAATCCTAAAACGTAAACTATTATCCATCAGAGAGAGGAATGAGACAGGATAAATCCACTTTTTGTTCATAGGAATTGGGAGCATCAGGATATCAAATAGCTAGTCCAAACTATTTAAATATCATTCTCTTTATAAGTATAACCACGTGCAGAAAAAGGATACCACTAGCATGAGATTGTCATCGACTACTTAGCCTTCCACAAATCAGCCAAACATTATCTTTTTGTTATAGTCATAAGTGGCAAAATAAGCATAGATAGAAACTAACTAGTTTACCAGCCTCTCACTACCACTGCGTGCTCTCAGAAATCATCTCACTTGGATATAAACACATATTCTACAGCTCAGCAACAGTTTATTTGTTGTGTCCTTCATTCTCTCAACCTTGAAGCTAAAACGGCCTCCAGGATATTACAGACCCTCCATAAATGAACAAGGGTAATAATGTATAGAAGGAAATATACCTTCAGTATCCTTAATAGCTTGCTCCATTGAATTGATTACATCTTCAAGCAAAGGAACTCCCATACGGTAATTCAACGAATTACCATAGCCTTTCAGTACAAAGACCTCCAAGTCATCTGTCCACTCCAGCAAACCAACCTACAAAGGACATATTGCCCAGTTGATGGCATAAAGAAGAACAGAAGAGGCTTACCTAACCTTTAATATATTCTCTTACATGCTTCCATAGAAAGGCTTTCAGAGGAAGTACACTCATACATGAAATATTTTAAATAATCCAAATTATCAATCAAGCCATTTACTCAACGTTGGAAGGCGGAAAAGAAAGTGCTGGTACCTCATCTGGAGTGAACAGAGCACAAGCTTGATCAGTTGTATTCAATAGAGAAGCTTCCTACAAGTCACATAAATTCAATATTCATGCACCCTGAATGTGCTACATATACACGGCAAGACGTACAGAAAAAAGGACAAAATTACCTGTTTGCACAGAAACCACAGGGATGAGACATCTTTTCGAGTGAAATTCAGACCCCAACGCGTAACTAATGCTTGAGTTATTTCATCTTGCACAGGTTCTTTGAACTTACCCACAGATGGTGCTTGACTTTTCCTGAACGCCTTTATTCAGAAAAAAAAAATCCATAAAATGGAAATAGTTCTTTAACAAGGAATTCTGGCTTTCTGATGGAGACGAGATCGCAATGCCATTTATGGACAAATATGATTATTTACCATCCTTAGTTTAATTATTATTTTCTTATCTATTTTATTATTATGCTTTATTTCCTTTTCCTAGTTAGTAGATGAATAATTTATGGTAATTATGATTTTTACTTATTTAGCAAATTAGGGAATTAGCTTTGTTAGGACTCTATATATTGTCTTCTCCTTCTCAAAGACGATCAGACGTTTATGAAATAATTTATCAGATTGAGTTTCTAATCTTGTTCCCTTTTCGTTTACGCTGCGCTACATCAGTTGGTATCCAGGGTTAGCTACGATCCACGATGCCCCCCAAAAGGAAAGACACCACGGCTGATGATAGGCGGGACGCGGCAATTGAAGCCCTCACGCGACAAGACTAGGGTTTTTGGCGGCAATTCCAATCGATGGGCCGTGATATGTCGGACTTAGCGGCGGGTATCGAGGATATTTGCGAGGCTCTCCAAACTTTGATGCGACGCGAGCAGACGAACCGTGACGGGCCTGATCAGCGGGACGGCGGTCGTGGTGTGTAGCGTGGTGGCCGTGGGGGTCGCGATCACACGCGATTTGGTGGTGGCCGACGTGCGCCGTATGAAGAGGAGGGCGGCGACTCAGACGCTACGGAGGAGGAGGGTAACCCGTTTGGGCGAGATGATCCTCGTGGAGACGATGACCCGCGCGGCGAAAGGCGTTGGGAGAGTGCGTTTCGCGTGGATATCTCGGAGTTCTCGGGTGGGCTGGACGCCACCGAATTCTTGGATTGGCTTGCTTCGATGAAGGCGGTTTTGGAATACAAAGACGTTCTCGACGACCATCGGGTTGGGCTTGTCGGCACGCGATTGCGCGGGCGGGCAGTCGCCTGGTGGCAGCAACTCTAGGACGAGAGGCGTCTGTTGGATAAACCTAAAATCGCAATGTTGGCCATGTTCCGGAAACATATCGAGCGGGAGTTTCTTCCGTTCAACTACGTCATTACCACATATCAACAGCTTCATAATCTACGTCAAGGTGCTCGATCCGTGGACGAATACACGGAGGATTTCTATCGTCTTCTTACCCGTGTCAAGCTCCGTAAGATGACGACTCAAAAGGTGTCCCGTTATGTGGGAGGATTGCGACTTGCCATTCGCGACATGTTTAACATGTTTACCCTGGAAACCGTTTCTGCCGCTCATCAACGGGCTTTGCTCATTGAACAACAACAGTCGCGGCGCCCTTTGCCGTCAAGTTTTCAGCCGCGCATGGGGGGAGGTCCGTCTTCTTCACTCGGGCCGAACCGGTCGCCGTTAACGGGCGGCCACAGCAACTCGACAAGGACGATTCCAGTAGCTGGAGCGTCGACCAGCACGACCGTCGGGAGCGGGTCCGCTTCGGCTGGGTAAGAGGGTTCGCGCGCCAGAGGTGGGCCCCACTATTTTTACTGCGGTGAGGCCGGCCACCGTCAGTCAGCCTGTCCCCACCGCAACGGCTCTCGGGCTCTGCTGGCGGATGACTTTGACGGCTCGGCAAAGGCTACTTATGATGGACTGCCGAAGTTTGATGTCGAGTCAGACCCGGAGGAGGAACATCTGTGTGGCGACGAGGGCCTTGCTTTGGTTCTTCACCGCTCGTGTTTGACACCTCGAGTTTCTGACACTACTGAGTCTTTACAGCGTCACCATATTTTTGAATCGACGTGTACGGTAAGTGACCGTGTCTGTCGTTTTATTATTGACTCTGGTTCTTGTGAAAACGTGGTTGCCCAGGATGCGGTGGAACGCCTTCATTTATCAACTGTACCGCACCCTCAGCCGTATATTTTGGCGTGGATAAAGCGAGGTAACGCCATCACGGTGGACCGTGGAGTGTTGGTCCAATTTTCCATCGGGCCCAAGTACCGTGACTCCGCGTGGTGTGATGTGGTGCCCATGAACGCGTGTCATCTCTTATTAGGTCGTCCATGGAAGTTTGATCGCGCGGTGGCTTTTGACGGTCGTCTCAACACTTACAGCTTCATGTTTGAGGGAGGGCGGTTGGTCCTTCATCCTTCACCCCCTCGTCCATTACCTCTGCCCACACCACCACAGGTTCTTTTGTTTCTCATTCGGCCTTTGCTGGTGAACTGCGGGAGGCACCATGTGTTTTGCTTCTTTTGGGCACGGATATGTCGACTCCTACAACCCCGCCGCCTGTGATCCAGCCATTGCTTGATGAGTTTTCTGATGTCTTTCCTACCGAGTTACCATCCGGTCTCCCTCCGCTTCTGGACATTTAGCATCATATCGATTTGGTGCCCGGAGCTTCTCTGCCTAATCGCCCTCACTATCGCATGAGCCCGGCAGAACACGAGGAGTTACGTCGTCAGGTAGAGGAGTTGATACAACGGGGGGTTGTTCGACGCAGTTTGAGCCCGTGTGCTGTGCCAGCTTTGCTCATTCCGAAGAAAGATAGCTCGTGGCGCATGTGTATTGATAGTCGTGCTATTAATAAGATCACGGTCCGATATAGGTTTCCTATCCCACGCCTCAACGACCTGTTGGACTAGTTACATGGAGCTTCGGTTTTTACCAAGCTTGATCTTCGGAGTGGTTATCACCAGATTCGGATCCGGCCGGTCGATGAGTGGAACACCTCGTTCAAGATCCGGGAGGGCCTTTTCTAATGGCTAGTAATGCCGTTTGGTCTTTCTAATGCACCTAGCACTTTTATGCGTGTGATGAACCAGGCATTGCGCGATCTCATTGGGAGGTGTGTCGTCGTTTATTTCGATGTCATCCTCATTTACAGCCGCACTATTCCGGAGCATTTGGGGTACGTCCGTTCGGTCTTACAGATTTTGCGATCCGAGTCCTTCTATGCAGCGCCTCATAAGTGTTCTTTTGTGGTCGATTCGGTTCTCTTTTTGGGTTTTGTCATCTCTGCGGCTGACATTCGCGTCGACGACATTAAGGTCGCCGCTATTCGGGAGTGGCCTACTCCGACTTCATTCACGGAGGCACGTAGTTTCCACTGGTTAGCCTCGTTTTATAGACGGTTCATTTCGCATTTCAGTTTCATCACCGCGCCTATTACAGACTGTCTTCACGGCAAGTCCTACGTCTGGACCCCTCAGGCCGCTACTGCTTTTGATCTTATCAAGAGATAGATGTGCCAGTTTTGGTCCTTCCTGATTTTTCTCTCCCGTTTGAGCTTTCTTGCGATGCTTCGAAGGTCGGGATTGGTGCCGTGTTGAGCCAGGAGGGGTGCCCAGTCGCTTTCTCTAGCGAGAAGTTGTAGGGCCCCCGACAGCACTACATCACGTATGACGTCGAGTTCTATGTTGTGTTTCGCGTCGTCCATTATTAGAGGCATTATCTCTTTCAGTGGGAGTTTGTCTTGTTCACCGACCACGAGGCCCTTCGCCACCTTTGTTCTCAAGGTAATATTTCTTCTCGTCATGCTACATGGACATCTTATCTTCAGCAGTCCACTTTTGTTCTGAAGCACCGCTCAGGTGCTTCGAATCACATGCCGGATGCCTTGAGTTGTCGTTCTTTGTTGTTGACTGATATGCGGGTTGAGGTTGTGGGGTTTGATTTGTTGAAGGATCTGTATGCTACTGACTCCTTTTTCGGGCCCATTTTTTCTCGACTTGCCTCTGGTCCTGTAGATGATTATGCTCTTTCTGATGGTTTTTTATTTCGTGGTGTTCGGTTATGTATTCCCGACTGTAGCCTGTGTCTGAAGGTGGAAGCGGACCTTCATGGTGTTGGGCACGTGGGGCGTGATCGCTCTGTTGACCTGGTCAGTCGCTCCTTTTTCTGGCCATCTTTGCGTCGGGATGTGGCTCGTTTCGTGGAGCATTGCCGAACATGTCAAGTTTCTAAGGCTATGGCGTCCAATGCCGGCCTTTACAGACCCGTGCCGATTCCCTCGCGTCCGTGGACTGCTATTGGTATGGACTTCGTCCTGGGTTTGCCTCGTACACAACGAGGTAGTGATTCTATCTTTGTGGTCGTCGACCGTTTTTCTAAAATGGTCCATTTTATACCATGCAAGCGGACTGCAGATGCCCTCCATGTGGCTACTTTATTTTTTCGGGAGGTTTATCGTCTACATGGCCTGCCGTCATCTATTGTTTGTGATCGCGATACGCGTTTTCTGAGCCATTTTTGGCGACGTTTGTGGCGTGTGGCCAACACTCGGTTGGACTTTAGTAGTGCTTATCATCCTCAGACAGACGGACAGACGGAGGTTGTCAATAGGTCGCTTGGCAATTTATTGCGGCGTTTGGTGGGTGAGAACCTGAAGAGTTGGGACCAGCGCCTCCCGCAGGCTGAGTTCGCTCATAACTCGGCTCGGAGTCGTGCGACGGGATTTTCCCCGTTTGAGGTCGTCTACGCCGTCCGTCCACGAGGGGCTGCGGACTTGCTCGCCTTGCCGTCGACCGTGGCGGCCGAGCCTCGTGCCGAGGAGTTGATGAATGACATCTCCTTTTCTACTGATATCACCTTCATCATCGGCAAAATAAGGCTCCTCGTACATACAAAAATATTTAATCAATTAGTAAAAATTTAGATCTTATTTTTAATTATTTTCAATTTATTTATTTTAAGCTAAAATAATTATGTTATTTTTCTTACTTTATGTTTTTGTTTTATTTAATTGAATATTCATATTTAAATAGGGAGTTAATTATAATTTTATCTGTTATTATCTTTTATAAATAAAATATCAAATTCATCATCAGCCTTCAACAATTTTAGAATTTTGATACATGTAACTTTGTACCTTTATTTGCTTCATGTATGTTATTTGAAAGTACAATTTGTTAACTATGTAATTTTGTTGACAAAATATACACGTCTATCAATTAACCCTCCTAATAAAATATATTATTAGTAGAAACAAAAATAAAAAACCATTAGGACTATAAAATTAAATTCAATGAACCCAGTAGCCTTTAATTGAAATCTTACTGTAAAACCCGGCAAGGGAAGCAATATCGACTTGTCCAACATTAGCTCGTTCGGACTCACAACTCCCAGACCGAATAAACAAATATGAGCACTTTTTTATCTTACAAAAGCTAGATTACAAAATTAAGAAGAACATTAAGGAAAAGGGGAAAAGAAATACCGCCTAGCCTACACGATCATGGGACCAATCGCAAAATTCGATCACTGAGGTATCAGTCAAAGATGGATGAAGATAAACTTTTGCATTCTCCTCCATTGATCATATGACCTATAACTCGGTCTTCTGGGCTTGTCCAACGTTAGACGAAAAAATCCAACTCCCTATTTTTGAAAAAAACTTACTAATTGCAGATACTTGACCCGACTGTGCAGTTTCCAAACTACAAAGAGACTCGTAATTGTGCTTCAAATGAACAGCAACAATTTTTTCCTGTGAGCCAAATATTGAAATATCGTTGAAGCCATCATAACTTTTCGGAAATAAATTACCAAGTAAATAGGATGGAAACAAACAATGTTTCCATACCTTGAACATCTTGAAAGGGCAAAAGTCAGAATTTCCACAACCCTATGAACAGAAGAGAACCATATCATCTACAAGGTTACAACAAATAATTGCAGAAGCTTAATTTGCACTGGGAAGGCTGTAAAAACTAGTGACATTAGGAGCTGTTTGACCAATTTTAATTTAAGAAAAATTGTTTACAGGACTTAATATCTTATAATTGTAAGAAGATCTTACTCGGAAAATGATTGGGATCCTTTTGTTAAAACAAATTTGTAAGCTAATAACTTCTTAATCTAGAATATTGTAATTACATTTTTAGAAAATTAATGACAGTTCTAAACAGTTTATTATTTATTAGCTCAGCCGAACACCCTGTACAACGCGCGAATACAACATTCACAATCACCGAAAATCCCACAGTAGAAGGGCCAGCTATTTGAGTTTAAGACAAAGTTGAAGACAATAGGTGTAAAATAAAAGAAAAAAGGGCTTAGAAAATTATCTAACAGAACAGTTTATAACTTATATGCCTATTCATAATTACACCAGGTTGTAAATCTCATAACATAGGAAAACACGAGAATAACTAGCTTACCGCCATTGGAATAGGATGCTCATTGTGCAGTACTTGCACAAAGTACTCGCTCTTGTTGTTTGTTGGGCAGCTGTACAGAACGAGCATGTTATTTCCGGCAAATGGTGCCACTGTGCTGCCACGCCAGATTCTCTTTTGGGGTGGTTTGACAGGTAGGTTCAGAGTTTTTTCACTTAGTATTTGTTCAAAATCTGAAAGCCCACAAAAAACAATTCAAAAGTTCAACCCCAAAGGCAGGAGTCACGGTATATATATATATATATATATATATATATATATAAAGTTAGAGGGAACACAATGAAGATATTAAACAATTAGCTAGCCTACCCATTCCATCAAGAAATAGCCCGATCAAACAGGAAAATGGAAGTAGTGTTTCTGCATGGGCAAACCTTAGTCGGGCCAATTCATAGCTCCCATGAACACGTCCATCTAATAAACGAGAAGAAGGTAAAACAGAGAGCGCGGAAAAGAATACATGGATAAAATTTAACGCAAACACTTAACTAAAATAAAGATTTCCAATCACATCCTAAAAACTATTATCCATCAGAGAGAGGGAAGAGAGAGGGATGAGACAGGATAGATCCATTTTTAGTTCATAGGAATTGGGAGCATCAGGATATCAAATAGCTAGTCCAAACTATTTAAATATCATTCTCTTTACAAGTATAACCACGTGCAGAAAAAGGATACCACTAGCATGAGATTGTCATCGACTACTTAGCCTTCCACAAATCAGCCAAACATTATCTTTTTGTTATAGTCATAAGTGGCAAAATAAGCATAGATACAAACTAACTAGTTTACCAGCCTCTCATTACCACTGCGTGCTCTCAGAAATCATCTCACTTGGATGTAAACACATATTCTACAGCTCAGCAACAGTTTATTTGTTGTGTCCTTCATTCTCTCAACCTTGAAGCTAAAACGGCCTCCAGGATATTACAGACCCTCCATAAATGAACAAGGGTAATAATGTATAGGAGGAAATATACCTTTAGTATCCTTAATAGCTTGCTCCATTGAATTGATTACATCTTCAAGCAAAGGAACTCCCATACGGTAATTCAACGAATTACCATAGCCTTTCAGTACAAAGACCTCCAAATCATCTGTCCACTCCAGCAAACCAACCTACAAAGGACATATTTCCCAAAACAGAAGGGGCTTACCTAACCTTTAACATATTCTCTTACATGCTACCATAGGAAATGCTTTCAGAGGAAGTAAACTCATACATGAAATATTTTAAATAATCCAAATTATCAATCAAGCCATTTACTCAACATTGGAAGGCGGAAAAGAAAGTGCAGGTACCTCATCTGGAGTGAACAGAGCACAAGCTTGATCAGTTGTATTCAATAGAGAAGCTTCCTACAAGTCACATATATTCAATATTCATGCACCCTGAATGCATTGCATATACATGGCAAGACGTACAGAAAACAACGACAAAATTACCTGTTTGCACAGAAACCACAACAATGAAACATCTTTTCGAGTGAAATTCAGACCCCAACGCATAACTAATGCTTGAGTTATTTCATCTAGCACAGGTTCCTTGAGCTTATCCACAAATGGTGCTTGACTCTTCCTGAACGCCTTTATTCAGAAAAAAAAAATAAAAAATAAAAAAAAAATAAAAAAAATCATAAAATGGAAATAGTTCTTTAACAAGGAATTCTGGCTTTCTGATGGAGACGAGATCGCAATGGCATTTATGGACAAATATGATCGTTTACCATCCTTAGTATGATTATTATTTTCCTATCTATTTTATTATTATGCTTTATTTCCTTTTCCTAGTTAGTAGATGAATAATTTATGGTAATTAGGATTTTTACTTATTAACAAATTAGGGAATTAGCTTTGTTAGGACTCTATATATTGTCTTCTCCTTCTCAAAGACATCATACGTTTATGAAATAATTTATCAGATTGAGTTTTCTCATCTTGTTCCCTTTTCATTTACGCTGCGCTACATCACTTTCCCAGAATCTTAACTAGCAGAGAAACAAAATTATTCGTCATGAACCTGGGGTGAAAGTGAAGGTTCATACAAAACAAAATTAAGTTTTAACGTAAACGTTACACATATTTGATTAGATAAGACCAGCGTCTACTCTATTGATCTAAACAATTTAAGTAGTGCCATATTAATTGCAGCAATTGAACATCGTAATTTCTATACATCTAAGAACAATCTGCTGGACAAAGCCCAAAACAACTCATGGAAGCAAGTATACTGATGTCCTTAATTAAGGAAATGGAAGGTGGACCAAGTGCCAGACACAGGTACAAGTACCAGTAATATAAGCAATATAAGCACGCACGTGACAGATGCGTACACAAATATGGCATTCCCACAAACTCTTCAGAAGTCAGATGGATCAATTGCACATACACATACATGTACCAGTACTATATAAGCAGTCACGTAATAGAGGCATACACCAATAATGCATTCCCACAAACTCTTCAGAAGTGATTTTACCTTGTAGTTTTGACAACAATCGTGGAATCTCAACATTATGTCACTTGCACGGCTTTCACTGGTAACTGCAAAAGCTCGATTATATCCCGGACCAAGATTTCCACGACCGCTGAAGAGGCCCAAGCCAAAAGCTACAGCACTAGCCGAGGCTCGTGAAATCTAATAAATCCATAACAAACAAAAGTTCTAGCACGGGTAAGCTACCAATCAAAATACTCAAGCTATGGATAGAATTAGAAAGTATCTAACCAGTACAAAAAATAACAATACATGGACAAATTATTAACGTGAACTAGCAGCTTGCGAATCACAACATGCAATTTAAGGAAAAGAGCCCTGAAAAAATTTTCAAGTGACTTTCCACGAAAACGGGACATGACATAAATAGATGGGAAAAGCCTCCTCGTATGAAAAATGAATACAACTAGTAAATGGCAAACCTGAGTGGCTTTAATTGGATAGATATCAGGATGGTAATCCTCATTAAACAATTCTGGAAACCTTTCTCTGGTCCTGATACCAAGTTCATACAGTTCATTTTCTCCTTCACTTATCAACTCTCCACCTTTATGTTTTCCTGTCCACGGAGATTTCCATCCACGTAGCCATGCAGGAACCACACTTACACTCTGCTCCTTCATATTTTCTAAAAGGACTTCCAGGCGAGTGGACAAGGAATCAAGTTCTTTCATCTTTTTCTTGGTAGGAGCTCGAGTTCCATGCCTTGCCTGCCAACTGAATCATCAGACCGAGTAATTGTGGCACAGTGCAGACATATGACAAGTGCAAAAAATTTCATTAATTAATGATGGATCTAAAGTCTCTTAAACAAAGATTTACAACCTACAAATTATAAATTCCATCAACAGAGCAAGTCAGATAATGGGCAAAATGACATGTGACCTTAGATTGGTCAAGCAAATGAGCATATATGATCAGTATCCACAAATCAACTACAGAAACTATACTGTTCCCATGCAGTTTCAATACACATAAACTACTAAAGCACTTAAAATCGAACTACAACTAATTACCACCAATTCAGTGCTATCAGAATCTCCACAAATATAACTTTAAAACCACCACAGTGAAAACACTTCTTCATATATACCATATAACCAAGGCATGATCAGAGAACAAATAAGCCACTACTAATTACTCAAATCAAACAAATTGTGTAAGAATTACCACAAGATTTAAGTGGACAGGCCTACACTGATCAGGAATTGTTGAAGGAATATATGAATTTTCAGAAATATCCTTAGCGACTTGATATCTGCATAGAAGACGAAGATATGCATACAAATGAGCTTAGAAAAAATTACTCAATCCAAAAAAATTGAAAAAACAAAATCGCGGCAATTACTTTATGCTTCTAATTAAACACGCCATGGAATACACTGCAATTTTTGATTAAATTCCAGAAAATTAACATCCTACAAATTGAAGAGCGAGAAGAAGTGAGAGAGAGACCTAGTAACGGTGGATAGATGGCGGCGGACGTCGAAATTTTCTCCGGAAACGGAAAGAGGAACGGCTGTGGCGATAAACAAGAGCATGAGCAATACGATTTGTGTAGCAGCTTCCATGGCTTCTCGAAAGAGTATAGGGGGTTTTCTCGCACTTTTTATAGACTCTGTAAATTTGTAGATTTTGAAAAGAAAATGAGAACGTTGTCCCGAAAAAGTTTCAACTGGTTACACGTGGCGAAACACTAATGGGTGAGTGATGGTGAAATATTATTTTTGTTGTAACTTTATTGTTTCTGTGACATGGTGGAAACTGGAACGTATTATTGCAGTTTAAGTTATTAGCGAGATCATGAAAACCAGAAGCTTTTATTTTTACTTTTTTTTTTGGCGATAAGAGCATCCAAAGCATCGTGTTTTTTTGTTCTTTCCAAAACGATAGGTTTTATAGCTCCAACATTTTGTACAAAGAGGATGGACTAAGTAGCACAATTCACAACCAACAGGTTGATCACGAGGAACATACAAATGCCCTAGCAAACAAAACACCTGAAACGTAGGTAGGTTCATAATCCTTGGCTAGAATCAAAGGTTATGTTCCCAGCTACACAAAACAGCATCCAAAAGGAACTAGAATACTGGCTAAAGCCCTAATCTAGATCAACTACAACCAAAAAATATAAAACCGACACAACCAGAAACTAAGACTAGTAACTAACTAAGAAAGTGAAACAGAAAAAACATTAAACAGTTGCACTACAGATTCATCACACCACAATCATCCACAAACTTTGCCAAATTCCAACCATTCTTCAACAGCATTGTTAATCACATTTCTTTCAGGTCTCCACAGGTGTTGGAATACCCATAGATTCCATACTTTCCAAATCCACCATAGCAAATAGACAGTAAATTGGATTCTGACTTCATTTGTTGCTGCTTGAGGTATAGCACAGAGGGATGACCACCAGTGAGAGAAGCTTGTCTGAGTGCGCAGAGGTGCTAACTCCCAGATCTTTACAGTTTTGGGACATGTGAAGAATAAGTGATACATTGTTTCTGCTGCTTCTCCACAAACCTGACATCTAGTGTCCATGATTACTCCTTTCTTGGCAAGGTTGACATTAACAGGCAATATGTTGCTGAGACACTTCCAAATGAAGTGTCTCAGTTTCCCTTTGATTTTCAAGTTCCATAGCCGGTTCCTCATTCTCTTAGCCTCTGATTGTCCTTTGCTTGACTCTACAATATCCAGATTTTTCCACTTCTGAGTCACCAAGTAATCATATGCTGCTGCTACTGGGTGTTTTCCATTTTTACCACTATGCCAAACCAGTCTGTCCTCTTCTCCTGGTTTTAGGCTTCCAATTTTCAGTATTGCAGTTTGCTCCTGTTCAGTAAAAATATCTTGCAGGATATGCCTCTTCCAATTCTTACCTGTCACATCAATTAAATCACTCACCATTCTGAGGTTAGAGTTGGGTGTTAATCTGCTCAAAGGTTTAAAACCAGGAAGGTCAGGAATCTAGGGATGCTCAAAGATTTTGATTTTAGAGCCAGTCTTCACTTCATATCTCAATTCCATGTGGGCAGAATCCCTGACTTTAATACAGCTATGCCACATCCATGACCCTGTTTGTTTAGGTGTGACTGTGAAGAAGTTGTCCCTTGGGAAATATTTTGCCTTCAAACATCTGCTCACCAACAGATTTGGTTGGGTAAGTATTCTCCAGATTTGTTTTGTTTGGTAATTAGAGCCTTGTTCATCAACTGGATATCATGAAATCCAATTCCCCTTCTTGTCTTTTGGCAATGTCGTCAAATTCTATGCTTTCCAATGGATGTGTTTTCTGTCAGAGTTACCTGTGTTCCACCAGAAGACAGCAAAATGTCTTGCAATATTTGCACACACAGATTTGGGAATTAGGAAGCAAGACATGGAGTATACAGGGAGAGCATTCAGAACTGCTTTGAGGAGAACCTCCCTACCAGCTGTAGAGCGGAATTTATTTTTCCAGTTCATGACTCTCTTTTCAATTGCAGTAGATATGTGTGAATGTGTCAATTTTGTTACTCCCAATGCCTAGAGGAAGACCCAGATACCTTGAGGAGTTTTGGGGTGTAATACCCAGCAGGATGTTGCAAATGGAATTTTTTAGTGCTGGAGAGCTGTTTTTGCTGAAGAATATGGAAGATTTAGAGAGGTTGACCTTTTGGCCGGTTATTTTTTGATAGTCAGCAAAGATATTAAGAAATGTTTGGGCTGTGAGGGTTCAACTTTGGCAAAGAGTAATGTATCATCAACAAAGAATAGGTGGGAAAGTTTAGGGCCATTTTTTGAGAGTTGAATTCCTATGAGAGTGCCTTTTTGGTTTTCCATATTGATCGTGAAAATTTCTGAGACCAAAATGAAGACATAAGGGGACAGAGGATCCCCTTGTCTTATGGGAGTAACATAACCACACACCTCCCCATTCACATTAAATGAAAATGATGCAGTTGAAATGCAAGAGATAATCCAGTTAACAAACACAGAGCAAAACCCAAGTTTCAGCATAATCAGACTCACACTTTTCCATTCTATTCTTCTATTCTGTCAAAAGCTTTTTCCATATCTAGTTTCAGAGCCATATAAGAGTGAGGACCTGTTCTATGTCTGTTTAAGAAGTGAATAATTTCCTGTCCCAAAATAACATTATCAACTATTTGTCTGTTAGGAACAAAAGCAGCTTGATTCTCACTAATGCAAATAGCTTGTCTGAGTCTTTGGGCTAGCAATTTTGAAATGACCTTGTAGGTTACACTACATAAGCTTATAGGCCGAAAATGAGAGACTTGCTCAGGATTTTGAATTTTAGGAATGAGTGATCAGAGTGTGGTTCATGCTTTTGAGAATTCTATCATATGCAAAAAAACTTCTCACAAGAGCAAATGAGGGACCAGAATTTTTGAAAAAACAGAGAAGTCATACCATCAATTCCAGGGGATTTTCTGGGGTTGATACTGAAGAGGGCTGCTTTTATTTCATCATCCCCAATGGGTGCTGTGAGTTTAGAGTTCAGGTCTTGTGTGATGTCTTGTGTGATAACAGGGTTAACTTCTTGTACCAGCCTTTCTCCTTCATCAGATCCCATACTACTGAACTGGTCATAGTGTAATATGAAGAGAATAATGGTTAACTTGTGAACTAACAAGTGGTGAACTGTTGAAGGACGAGTTGTCGGTTAACAGTTACACAACATTAGACCCATACTACTGAACTATTCTTACGGCAAAAGCATTGGAACAAGTTTAACACACTCCAAGTAGTTGTGGTTTATGCTCGTTTGCCCATTTTCATATATGTTGCACAATCCCTAAATCACATGCATAGAAAACTTTATATTATTCTGAAACATCTTCATGGAAGGATGAGTTATAGTGTTCTAACCGCGAGAATATAACAATTAAAATCTCAGGCAAGGAAATCCCAATCCCTCAAACCAAGCCTGCTCGTCAAAATATAAGAATTACCTTGTCAAGAGTTTGAGTGTTAAGCACATATGCTGGAGGAGCAACCAGCTTAATTTTAACGGGGCAATCTTTGTTGCCAGCAGATTCAGCTCTACGCATTGCTACCTGCAAAATTCATCTCAAATCAATACTTGCAACAAAGAAGCTCACCTTGTAATAGGATACAAAAAATCCTGAAATTGAAGGATTAAGAGACCTTTATGTGCAGGACCCCATCAAACTGAAAACATTTCATTTCAATATCGGCACGAATCTTTAAAGGTTGTGGCGTCATTCTTCTCCTAATATTCTTCACTAAAGCATCTTTTACTTCATCAGTTATAGCCGGAGCCACCTTCTTCACCTACAAACGATAGATAGATAGATAGAATCGGATAAAATAGCCATACCATCACTCTGGATTTAGTGCTAGGCAACTGGAACATCACTGAGATATGAAAACTACCTCTTCTCCATCAGGACCCACTTCTTTGACTTCACGAGTGAGGGAATCAAGGATCGAATCAGGATCGTTGACAATCAATTTGAACGCCTGGAGTTCCAAATAAAAACACAAAAGAATTAAGACAACCATAATATCAAAGCTGAGGCGATTCATCATGGAAAATTCTACATCAGTAGATAAAATTACCTCAAATGCGTGGACATATTTCCTGTACAAAGGCCAGCCGACATGGATATAAAGATCCTACAATAAAGCAGCATAAGCCATAGTAAACTAAACCATAAAGCCCTGAGCAAATTGACGCCAAAAACAATACACAATACACGGGAACCTACAAATATGATATCAATACAAAAGCAGGACTAATATAAAATGCCAAAGACAAGAAACATAAGACGCCAATTGGAATAAATTCAAATTTAGCACATGCTATAACCAAACAAATTTGTGAGAGTTATAAAACTACACAGTTCTTCTAGAATATCGCCCCAAATTTGAGAAATTGCTGGAATCCATACAATAAAACAATAAAAGTGGAAATTCAAAATTTCCAATTTCCATGATTAAAAATTGAAGGGAAGAGAAATAAGAAAAAGAAAAATCAGAAAAAATCCAACCTCGAGGTCAAGGCTCAAGGTCTCAGCAACATGTCGCATAACCGAGTGAACGAGCTTGCTCTTATTGTACCTTTCCTCGCACGCCTGAATATCCTCTTCCGACACACGCCTCTTGCTCAGATCAATGTACCCCTTCTCTTTATTGACACGGAGCACCATGACGGGCTCGATGCGGCCGACCTTGATTAGGCTGCTGATGCTACGGATACGGCGGCGAGAGAGCTCGGAGAAGAGAATCATGCCCTCGATGTTGTACTCGAGGAGTGAGACGTACGCGCCGCTGTCGGCCATGCTTTTCACCTGTATCATCACCGCCTGGTCCACCTCCGGGTACCTAGCCTCATACATCCTACATTCTATACTCGTCATTCTTCACTGATTGATGGTTTCAGTTTAGGAGTTTTTTTTATGGAGAATTAGGTTTTGTGGGAATTTTAGAGCGAGATAGTTTGAGACATAAAGATTTACCTAACCCTTATAGAGGAAGGAAAATCCGCCTAAATAAATAATTCGGATATACTTACTCTGGGATTTTTATTTTTTTTTGAATATATATTTGGAGATGATTTAAATTTAAATAAGAATGATAAATATATGTTAAAGGATGATTTAAAATACGAATAAGAAATATATGTGGATGGTGATTAAATTTATATAAGAATAAAAATATTATAATGTTATTTTAATAACTTTAGGATATAAAGTATTTTTCAAATAATATAATATGGATTTTCTGCAAATAAATTTTATTTTTGATTAAAGGTAGATATGTATAAAAACAATATTATTTAATATTATTATATAATTGAAATATTTTTCTTATTTTTTGTCATCTATGTAATGGTAAATTCTCAGCTATATCCACACGACAAAGATCTTACTCGGAAAATGATTGTAATTACATTTTTAGGACTTAATATTTAATATTTTTCTTATTTCTTATGTCTTCTAAGAAAAATTGTTTACAGGACTTAATATCTTATCATTGTAAGAAGATCTTACTCGGAAAATGATTGGGATCCTTTTGTTAAAACAAATTTGTAAGCTAATAACTTCTTAATCTAGAATATTGTAATTACATTTTTGGAAAATTAATGACAGTTCTAAACAGTTTATTATTTATTAACTCAACCGAAGACCCTGTACAACGCGCGAATACAACATTCACAATCACCAAAAATCTCACAGTAGAAGGGCCAGCTATTTGAGTTTAAGACAAAGTTGAAGACAATAGGTGTAAAATAAAAGAAAAAAGGGCTTAGAAAATTATCTAACAGAACAGTTTATAACTTATATGCCTATTCATAATTGCACCAGGTTGTAAATCTCATAACATAGGAAAATACGAGAATAACTAGCTTACCGCCATTGGAATAGGATGCTCATTGTGCAGTACTTGCACAAATACTCGCTCTTGTTGTTTGTTGGGCAGCTGTACAGAACGAGCATGTTATATCCGGCAAATGGTGCCACTGTGCTGCCACGCCAGATTCTCTTTTGGGGTGGTTTGACAGGTAGGTTCAGAGTTTTTTCACCTAGTATTTGTTCAAAATCTGAAAGCCCACAAAAAACAATTCAAAAGTTCAGCCCCAAAGGTAGGATTCACGGAAACATTTATATATACATATATAGGGGCTGGTTCAAATAAAAACTATGTCTGGTGTGAGAACCGTGAGAACCATATTTGATGCTATTTTTAATTGTGTATGATGCTATTTTTAATATTACATGGTGCTATCATTTTCATAAATGCTAATAAAAATTTTGTTGCTATTTTTAATCAAATACATCCTAGTTAAAAATAGCACTAAAACACAATTAATCATAGCACTACATACAATTAAAAATAGCGGTTCTCACGGTTTTCACGCTAGGACTTGGTTCTCATTTGAACCACATCCTACATATATATATATATATATATATATATATACAAAGTTAGAGGGAACACAATGAAGATATTAAACAATTAGCTAGCCTACCCGTTCCATCAAGAAATAGCCCGATCAAACAGGAAAATGGAAGTAGTGTTTCTGCATGGGCAAACCTTAGTCTGGCCAATTCATAGCTCCCATGAACACGTCCATCTAATAAACAAGAAGAAGGTAAAACAGAGAGCGCGGAAAAGAATACACGGATAAAAATTAACGGAAACACTTAACTAAAATAAAGATTTCCAATCACAGAGGCAAGAACTTAATCCTAAAACGTCAACTATTATCCATCAGAGAGAGGGATGAGACAGGATAAATCCACTTTTTGTTGATAGGAATTGGGAGCATCAGGATATCAAATAGTTAGTCCAAACTATTTAAATATCATTCTCTTTATAAGTATAATCACGTACAGAAAAAGGATACCACTAGCATGAGATTGTCATCGACTACATAGCCTTCCACAAATCAGCCAAACATTATCTTTTTGTTATAGTCATAAGTGGCAAAATAAGCATAGATACAAACTAACTAGTTTACCAGCCTCTCATTACCACTGCGTGCTCTCAGAAATCATCTCACTTGGATGTAAACACATATTCTACAGTTCAACAACAGTTTATTTGTTGTGTCCTTCATTCTCTCAACCTTGAAGCTAAAACGGCCTGCCTCCAGGATATTACAGACCCTCCATAAATGAACAAGGGTAATAATGTATATGAGGAAATATACCTTCTGTATCCTTAATAGCTTGCTCCATTGAATTGATTACATCTTCAAGCAAAGGAACTCACATACGGTAATTCAACGAATTACCATAGCCTTTCAGTACAAAGACCTCCAAGTCATCTGTCCACTCCAGCAAACCAACCTACAAAGGACATATTGCCCAGTTGATGGCATAAAGAAGAACAGAAGAGGCTTACCTAACCTTTAACATATTCTGTTACATGCTTCCATAGAAAGGCTTTCAGAGGAAGTACACTCATACATGAAATATTTTAAATAATCCAAATTATCAATCAAGCCATTTACTCAACATTGGAAGGCGGAAAAGAAAGTGCTGGTACCTCATCTGGAGTGAACAGAGCACAAGCTTGATCAGTTGTATTCAATAGAGAAGCTTCATACAAGTCACATAAATTCAATATTCATGCACCCTGAATGCGTTACATATACACGGCAAGACATACAGAAAACAAGGACAAAATTACCTGTTTGCACAGAAACCACAGGGATGAGACATCTTTTCGAGTGAAATTCAGACCCCAACGCGTAACTAATGCTTGAGTTATTTCATCTAGCACATGTTCTTTGAACTTATCCACAGATGGTGCTTGACTTTTCCTGAACGCCTTTATTCAGAAAAAAAAAAAAAAATCCATAAAATGGAAATAGTTCTTTAACAAGGAATTCTGGCTTTCTGATGGAGACGAGATCGCAATGGCATTTATGGACAAATATGATTGTTTACCATCCGTAGTTTAATTATTATTTTCTTATCTATTTTATTATTATGCTTTATTTCTTTTTCCTAGTTAGTAGATGAATAATTTATGGTAATTAGGATTTTTACTTATTTAGCAAATTAGGAAATTAGCTTTGTTAGGACTCTATATATTGTCTTCTCCTTCTCAAAGACGATCATACGTTTATGAAATAATTTATCAGATTGAGTTTTCTCATCTTGTTCCCTTTTCGTTTACGCTGCGGTACATTAGTTGGTATCCAGGGTTAGCTACGATTCACGATACCGCCCAAAAGGAACGACACCACGGCTGATGATAGGCGGGACACAGCAATTGAAGTCCTCACGCGACAAGACGAGGGTTTCTGGCGGCAATTCCAATCGATGGGCCGTGATATGTCGGACGTAGCAGCGGGTGTGGAGGATGTTCGCGAGGCTCTCCAAACTTTGATGCAACGCGAGCAGACGAACCGTGACAGGCCTGATCAGTGGGACGGCGGTCGTGGTGGGTAGCGTGGTGGTCGTGGGGGTCGCGGTCACGCGCGTTTTGGTGGTGGCTGACGTGCACCGTATGAGGAGGAGGGCGGCGACTCAGACGCTACGGAGGAGGAGGGTAACCCGTTTTGGCGAGATGATCCTCGTGGAGACGATGACCCGCGCGGCGAAAGGCGTTGGGAGAGTGCGTTTCGCGTGGATATCCCGGAGTTCTCGGGTGGGCTGGACACCGCCGAATTCTTGGATTGGATTGCTTCGGTGAAGGCGGTTTTGGAATACAAAGACGTTCCCGACGACCATCGGGTTGGGCTTGTCGGCACGCGATTGCGCGGGCGGGCAGTCGCCTGGTGGCAGCAACTCAAGGACGAGAGGCGTCTGTTGGGTAAACCTAAAATCGCAACGTTGGCCATGTTCCAGAAACATATCGAGCGGGAATTTCTTCCGTTCAACTACGTCAGTACCATATATCAACAGCTTCATAATCTACGTCAAGGTGCTCGATCCGTGGACGATTACACGGAGGATTTCTATCGTCTTCTTGCCCGTGTCAAGCTCCGTAAGACGACGACTCAAAAGGTGTCCCGTTATGTAGGAGGATTGCGACTTGCCATTCGCGATATGTTTAACATGTTTACCCTGGAAACCGTTTCTGCCGCTCATCAACGGGCCTTGCTCATTGAACAACAACAGTCGCGACGCCCTTTGCCGTCAATTTTTCAGCCGCTCATGGGGGGAGGTTCGTCTTCTTCACTCGGGCCGAATCGGACGCCGTTTACAGGCGGCCACAGCAACTCGACAAGGACGACCGAATTTCTAGCAGCTGGAGCGTCGACCAGCACGGCCGTCGGGAGCAGGTCCGCTTCGATTGGGTTGGAGGGTTCGCGCGCCGGACGTGGGCCCCGCTATTTTTCTCTCCCGTTTGAGCTTTCTTGTGATGCTTCGAAGGTCGGGATTGGTGCCGTGTTGAGCCAGGAGGGGTGCCCAGTCGCTTTCTCTAGCGAGAAGTTGTCGGGCCCGCGACAGCACTACATCACGTATGACGTCGAGTTCTATGTTGTGTTTCGCGTCGTCCATTATTAGAGGCATTATCTCTTTCAGTGGGAGTTTGTCTTGTTCACCGACCACGAGGCCCTTCGCCACCTTTGTTCTCAAGGTAATATTTCTTCTCGTCATGCTACATGGACATCTTATCTTCAGCAGTCCACTTTTGTTCTGAAGCACCGCTCAGGTGCTTCGAATCACATGCCGGATGCCTTGAGTTGTCGTTCTTTGTTGTTGACTGATATGCGGGTTGAGGTTGTGGGGTTTGATTTGTTGAAGGATCTGTATGCTACTGACTCCTTTTTCGGGCCCATTTTTTCTCGACTTGCCTCTGGTCCTGTAGATGATTATGCTCTTTCTGATGGTTTTTTATTTCGTGGTGTTCGGTTATGTATTCCCGACTGTAGCCTGTGTCTGAAGGTGGAAGCGGACCTTCATGGTGTTGGGCACGTGGGGCGTGATCGCTCTGTTGACCTGGTCAGTCGCTCCTTTTTCTGGCCATCTTTGCGTCGGGATGTGGCTCGTTTCGTGGAGCATTGCCGAACATGTCAAGTTTCTAAGGCTATGGCGTCCAATGCCGGCCTTTACAGACCCGTGCCGATTCCCTCGCGTCCGTGGACTGCTATTGTTATGGACTTCGTCCTGGGTTTGCCTCGTACACAACGAGGTAGTGATTCTATCTTTGTGGTCGTCGACCGTTTTTCTAAAATGGTCCATTTTATACCATGCAAGCGGACTGCAGATGCCCTCCATGTGGCTACTTTATTTTTTCGAGAGGTTTATCGTCTACATGGTCTGCCGTCATCTATTGTTTGTGATCGCGATACGCGTTTTCTAAGCCATTTTTGGCGACGTTTGTGGCGTCTGGCCAACACTCGGTTGGACTTTAGTAGTGCTTATCATCCTCAGACAGACGGACAGACGGAGGTTGTCAATAGGTCGCTTGGCAATTTATTGCGTTGTTTGGTGGGTGAGAACCTGAAGAGTTGGGACCAGCGCCTCCCACAGGCTGAGTTCGCTCATAACTCGGCTCAGAGTCGTGCGACGGGATTTTCCCCGTTTGAGGTCGTCTACGCCGTCCGTCCATGAGGGGCCGCGGACTTGCTCGCCTTGCCGTCGACCATGGCGGCCAAGCCTCGTGCCGAGGAGTTGATGGCGGATTTACGCCGCGTCCATGAGTCCGCCCGGGCTCATTTGGAGGCTGTGACCGCTGGCTACAAGAAGCATGCAAACATGCACCGTCGCCATGTCGAGTTTGAGGTGGGTGACTTCGTTTGGGTGGTTTTGACTAAGGACCGTTTTTCGGCGCATGAGTACAGTAAGCTGTCAGCCCGCAAGATTGGCCCTGTAAAGATCCTCGAAAAGATTAATCCGAATGCCTACCGTCATCATTTACGGTCGCATATTCGGACGTCCAACGTCTTTAACGTCAAGTACTTGGTGCCTTACCTTGGTGATAACTCCGATGGAGACGAGATCGGTTCGGATTCGGGGGCGAATCCTTCCGAACCAGGGGAGGATGATGGAGATGAGATCACAATGGCATTTATGGACAAATATGATCGTTTAACATCTTTAGTTTAATTATTATTTTCCTATCTATTTTATTATTATGCTTTATTTCCTTTTTCTAGTTAGTAGATGAATAATTTATGGTAATTAGGATTTTTACTTATTTAGCAAATTAGAGAATTAGCTTTGTTAGGACTCTATATATTGTCTTCTCCTTCTCAAAGACGATCATACGTTTATGAAATAATTTATCAAATTGAGTTTTCTCATCTTGTTCCCTTTTCGTTTACGCTACGCTACATCACTTTCCCAGAATCTTAACTAGCAGAGAAACAAAATTATTCGTCATGATCCTGGGGTGAAAGTGAAGGTTCATACAAAACAAAATTAAGTTTTAACGTAAACGTTACACAGATTTGATTGGATAAGACCAGCGTCTACTCTACTGATCTAAACAATTTAAGTAGTGCCATATTGATTGCAGCAATTGAACACCGTAATTTCTATACATCTAAGAACAATTTGCTAGACATGCCTAAAACAACTCATGGAAGCAAGTATGTTGATGTCCTTAATTAAGGAAATGGAAGGTGGACCAAGTGCTAGACACAGGTACAAGTACCAGTAATATAAGCAGGCACGTGACAGATGCGTACACAAATATGGCATTCCCACAAACTCTTCAGAAGTCAGATGGATCAATTGCACATACACATACATGTACCAGTACTATAAGCAGACACGTAATAGAGGCATACACCAATAATGCATTCCCACAAACTCTTAAGAAGTGATTTTACCTTGTAGTTATGACAGCAATCGTGGAATATCAACATTATGTCACTTGCACGGCTTTCACTGGTAACTGCAAAAGCTCGATTACGTCCCGGACCAAGATTTCCACGACCGCTGAAGAGGCCCAAGCCAAAAGCTACAACACTAGCCGAGGCTCGTGAAATCTAATAAATCCATAACAAACAAAAGTTCTAGCACGGGTAAGCTACCAATCAAAATACTCAAGCTATGGATAGAATTAGAAAGTATCTAACCAGTACCAAAAATAACAATACATGGAAACATTATTAACGTGAACTAGCAGCTTGTGAATCACAACATCCAATTTAAAGAAAAGAGCCCTGAAAAAATTTTCAAGTGACTTTCCACGAAAACGGGACATGACATAAATAGATGGGAAAAGCCTCCTCGTATGAAAAATGAATACAACTAATATATGGCAAACCTGAGTGGCTTTAATTGGATAGATATCAGGATGGCAATCCTCATTAAACAATTCTGAAAACCTTTCTCTGATCCTGATACCAAGTTCATACAGTTCATTTTCTCCTTCACTTATCAACTCTCCACCTTTATGCTTTCCTGTCCACAGAGATTTTCATCCACGTAGCCATGCAGGAACCACACTTACACTCTGCTCCTTCATATTTTCTAAAAGGACTTCCAGGCGAGTGAACAAGGAATCAAGTTCTTTCATCTTTTTCTTGGTAGGAGCTCGAGTTCCATGCCTTGCCTACCAACTGAATCATCACACCGAGTAATTGTGGCACAGTGCAGACATATGACAAAACAACATGGAGAGTGCAAAAAATTTCATTAATTAATGATGGATCTAAAGTCTCTTAAACAAAGATTTACAACCTACAAATTATAAATTCGATCAACAAAACAAGTCAGATAATGGGCAAAATGACATGTGACTTTAGATTGGTCAAGCAAATGAGCATATATGATCAGATATCCACAAATCAACTACAGAAACTATACTGTTTCCATGCAGTTTCAATACACATACACTACTAAAGCACTTAAAATCGAACTACAACTAATCTACCACCACTTCAGTGCTATCAGAATCTCCACAAATATAACTTTAAAACCACCACAGCACGGTGAAAACACTTCATCATATATACCATATAATCAAGGCATGATCAGAGAACAAATAAGCCACTACTAATTACTCAAATTAAACAAATTGTGTAAGAATTACCACAAGATTTAAATGGACATGCCTACACTGATCAGGAATTGTTGAAGGAATATATGAATTTTCAGAAATATCCTTACCGACTTGATATCTGCATAGAAGACGAAGATATGCATACAAATCAGCTTAGAAAAAATTACTTGATCCAAAAAATTTGAAAAAACAAAATCGCCGCAATTACTTTATGCTTCTAATTAAATACGCCATAGAATACACTGAAAATTTTGATTAAGTTCCAGTAAATTAACATCCTACAAATTGAAGAGCGAAAGAAGTGAGAGAGAGACCTAGTAACGGTGGATAGATGGCGGCGGACGTCGAAATTTTCTCCGGAAATGAAAAGAGGAACGGCTGTGGCGATAAACAAGAGCATGAGCAATACGATCTGTGTAGCAGCTTCCATGGCTTTTCGAAAGAGTATAGAGGGTTTTCTCGCACTTTTTATAGACTTTGGAAATTTGTAGATTTTGAAAAGAAAATGAGAACGTTGTCCCGAAAAAGTTTTAGCTGGTTACACGTGGCGAAACACTAATGGTGAGTGATGGTGAAATGTTATTTTTGTTGTAATTTTATTGTTTGTGTGACATGTGGAAACTGGAACATATTCTTGCAGTTTAAGTTATTCGCGAGATTAAGAAAACCAGAAGCTTTCAATTTTTATTTTTTTTTTTGCGATAAGAGCATCCAAAGAATCATGTTTTTTTTTTCAAAACGATAGGTTTTATAGCTCCAACATTTTGTACAAAGAGGATGGACTAAGTAGCCCAATTCACAACCAACAGGTTGATCAGGAGGAACATACAAATGCCCTAGCAAACAAAACACCTGAAACGTAGGTAGGTTCATAATCCTTGGCTAATGCAATGCTTAGAATCCAAGGTTATGTTCCCAGCTACACAAAACAGCATCCAAAAGGAACTAGATCACTGGCTAAAGTCCTAATCTAGATCAACTACAACCAAAAAATATAAAACCGACACAACCAGAAACTAAGACTAGCAACTAACTAAGAAAGTGAAACAGAAAAAACATTAAACAGTCGCACTACAGATTCTTCACACCAAAAGACTGCACCAATCATCCACAAACTTTGCCAAATTCCAACCATTCTTCAACAGCATTGTTAATCACATTCCTTTCAGGTCTCCATAGGTGTTGGAATACCGATAGATTTCTTACTTTCCAAATCCACCATAGCAAATAGACAGTAAATTGGATTTTGGCTTCATTTGTTGCTATTTGAGGTATAGCACAGGGGGATGACCACCAGTGAGAGAAGCTGTCTGAGTGCTGTGCCAGTCCATTCCAGTGCAGAGGTGCTAACTCCTAGATCTTTACAGTTTTGGGACATGTGAAGAATAAGTGATGCATTGTTTCTGCTGCTTCTCCACAAACCTGACATCTAGTGTCCATGATTACTCCTTTATAGGCAAGGTTGACATTAACAGGCAATATGTTGCTCAGACACTTCCAAATGAAGTGTTTCAGTTTCCCTTTGATTTTCAAGTTCCATAGTCAGTTCCTCATTCTCTTAGCCTCTGATTGTCCTTTGCTTGACTCTGCAATATCCAGATTTTTCCACTTTTGAGTCACCAAGTAATCATATGCAGCTGCTACTGAGTGTTTTCCATTTTTACCACTATACCAAACCAGTCTGTCTTTTTCTTCTGTATGCTTCCAATTTTCAGTATTGCAGCTTGCTCCTGTTTAGTGAAAATATCTTTCAGGATATGCCTCTTCCAATTCCTACCTGTCACATCAATTAAATCACTCACCATTCTGAGGTTAGAGTTGGGCGTTGGTCTGCTCATAGGTTTAAAACCAGGAAGGTCAGGAATCTAGGGATGCTCAAAGATTTTGATTTTAGAGCCAGTCTTCACTTCATATCTCAATTCCATGTGGGCAGAATCCCTGACTTTAATCCAGTTATGCCACATCCATGACCCTGTTTGTTTAGGTGTGACTGTGAAGAAGTTGTCCCTTGGGAAATATTTTGCCTTCAAACATCTGCTCACCAACAGATTTGGTTGGGTAAGTATTCTCCAGATTTGTATCAACTGGATATCATGAAATCCAATTCCCCTTTTGTCTTTTGGAAATGTCATCAAATTCCATGCTTTCCAATGAATGTGTTTTCTGTCAGAGTTACCTGTGTTCCACCAGAAGGCAGCAAAATGTCTTGCAATATTTGCACACACAGATTTGGGAATGAGGAAGCAAGACATGGAGTATACAAGGAGAGCATTCAGAACTGCTTTGAGGAGAACCTCTCTACCAGCTGTAGAGAGGAATTTATTTTTCCAATTCATGACTCTCTTTTCAACTGCAGTAGATATGAATGTGAATGTGTCAATTTTGTTACTCCCAATGCCTAGAGGAAGACCCAGATACCTTGAGGAGTTTTGGGGTGTAATACCCAGCAGAATGTTGCAAATGGAATTTTTTAGGGCTGGAGAGCTGTTTTTGCTTAAGAATATGGAAGATTTGGAGAGGTTGACCTTTTGTCCTGTTATTTTTTGTTAGTCAGCAAGGATATTGAGAATTGTTTGGGCTTGTGAGGGTTCAGCTTTGGCAAATAGTAATGTATTATCAGCAAAGAATAGGTGGGAAAGTTTAGGGCCATTTTTTTAGAGTTGAATTCCTATGAGAGTGTTTTTTGGTTTTCCATATTGATCAGGTGGGTGAAAATTTCTGAGACCAAAATGAAGACATAAGGGGACAGAGGATCCCCTTGTCTTATTCCTCTAGTGGGAGTAACATAATCACACACCTCTTGTTTTATCTGGGGAGGGAGGGAGCAAGAGTGTGTCTTTGTTCTCTGGTTGGTTAGATTCAGTCTTGATTTCAGGTTGAGGGCTTAGGTCCTTTTTGTTTTCAGTTTGAGGGGTTGAGAGTAGGTATTCAGAAGAGGGAGGAATATCAGTTTCCATAGGTTGGATGGGTAGTGATTGGTTAGTGGTTTTATGTGTGTCAAGGCCGACGGTTGGAAAGAGGCTGTGGCCTGGGATAGATGGGAGAATTGCTCTGGGATTTGTTTCTCTGTATGGTTTAATTCTGGTAGGTTGTCAGTTTGAGTTTGTGGGAGGGAGGATTTTGCTGATTGTAGTATTTCTGTATCCATAGGTTAGATGGGTTGAGAGAGGTTATGAGGTTTTATTTGGGTCAAGGGAAGTGGTTGAGAAACGGTGATAGGCTGAGAAGGTGTAGATAATTGGATTTGGATTCCTAGGGAATGGAACTTATTGTTGGTGTTGGGCTGTATAGTAGTGGACTGGTTGTTATCTTTTTGGGATGCAGAGTGGGTTTTGAAGAAGGTACTACTGTTGGTATGAGGTTCATCTGTATTGGCATTATGGCTCGAAGAGGGGGTAAAGAAAATTTCTGAGGCTTTTTAGCCAGTCTCCAAACATACATTCTTTTAGATTTTGGTGTGCAATATCCTCAGTTCTTCTCTGGCAGTTCTTGTCAATGTGTCCAATCACTCCGCAGTAATAACAAAGTCCAGCAAGTTTTTCATACTTGAATTGAACCAATGTTTTCTTACTCCCGTGTTGGATTGTTGCACATCTGATGATGGGTTGATTGATATCAATTGATACTAGCAGTCTGAGACATACCTGCTAGGTTTCCTCCTTGTGGAACTTAGACATCTTTTATCTGTTTAAATGCTCGCCCAATTTTGAAGCCCACCTCTGCTGACAACCAGTGAAATGGGACATTCCAGGCTTGAACCCAAATGTTTAGTTCCTGGAATTCTAGGTGGTCAGGGGAAGTATCTTCCTTCCAATCCCTAAGGATGAGGAACTGATTCTCAAATGCCCAGCATTTACCATTGCTCACTTTGATTTTGTCCTCTTCGTTAGCAAATATGAATTGGAAAAAGTTTGGGCTGATTTCACGGACTATGACCGGGGATCTGATATGCCACATTTGGTTTACTGTTCGCCGGAGGCTTATGATTCCCGCTTTTTTATGTCCGATGATTTTACCCAGTAAACTTCTTGCACAATCCTCCGCACTGTGATGGAAGTCGTCAGATTCAATGTTAATAACCTTGGCCTCATTATCTGAAAGACGGAATAAACCCAGCTTGAGAGCTATATCCTCTGCCATATCCTTGTTCGCAAAATATTTTCACTATCCGCAAGTGTACGGTATAGCTATAGTGAGTGGTGAGCAAGGTCGTATTCCACAGAGATTGTTGTCAAAATAACTAAGTATCAAAATGTAAATGGTTAAATATTATTCAGTCTAATGCAAATTTAAATGGTGACTTTATTCTAAACTAATGAATGATTGCAAAATAAATTCTAACACTAATGAAGGCTTGTTCTAAGATAAATCAAGAATGAGAAAACAGATTCTAGGCTACGCTTTCCTCGGAATTATTCTAGCAAAGATTAATTATTCATTCAAACTTTATTTAATTCTACTATTTGTAGGGATAATCGCTAAAGTAACTTACACCTTTCTCTCGATCGAACAAGTTAAATCTTAGATATTAATTGTTATCTATCTCCTCTCGGTCTCAAGATGGACAATCAACTCCCATGAGCTCCTAAGATTCTAGTTCCCTCGCAAGATTCTATCAACCTCTCGGTCTGTTTAGTCTCTTACGTTATGAATTTACCAATTCTAGCAATCAACTATCTCCTCTCGGTCTCAAGTCAATCACAAATATGCATAAATACGGGCCCTTATATTCACACAATTAATAAAAGCACAAGAAATTGATAAATGAATGATAAACCGGAATGAATAAATAAAATCACTTCATAAAATAATCCGAGTACACGCAAATACTAGAATCCCTAAAAGGTTTAGCTACTAAACATATTCTCAAAACTCAAAATAAATATATCCATGAGTTCAATGAAGAAGAAAAATAGAAAAGAAAGAAGAACTATTGTCGCCGTTAGTTCCCGAATCTTCAATCTTGACTTCCTCGAATTCCTCGTGTGTTTCGTGCTTTCTCTAGGCCTCCAATGGTGTCAAAAGTCCCAAAAACAAGTTCCTAAGGCCTCTTTTATACTGTACGGTCATTCTGGGTCGAAAAAAGAGAAGAAATCGCACAAGAATTCTATTCCCCGCTGAACTAGTCTGCGCTTCAAACGAGTCGTGTCACATGCCACACGAGTCGTGTGACTTTTCTCAACATTTTGGCGAACTTCCAGACTCACACGACCGGGTCACATGAGTCGTGTGAGGTCACACGACCAGGTTACACGAGTCGTGTGAGGCCACACGACCCGTGTCACAAGACACACGACCCGTGTGAAAAAGCCGTAGCTGCGTCTCTTATTTCCTCAATCCACACAACCCGTGTCACTACCCACACAAGTCGTGTGGCCTCTTCTGCACCCGTTTTTGCCGTTTTTCGTCCCGATTCCATTTCCAACGCATTTCTGGGCATATTTCTTGCAAAAACAATGACAAAAACACCTCTATCATAGATTAATAAATAAAACAAAATGGTGCACAATCACGCGATAACCATGGCCAAATATCACAATATATCACTCATAATGCAAGAAAATATGATGAATGTCAACTCCCCCAAACTTAAACACTTGTTCGTCCCCGAACAAGAATAAGAAAATCAGAAATCAAGCATAATGAGTGATATCAAACTAGAACAACTTCAAGTCCTTCAATGCAACCAAGAAAAATTCAAGAGATCATAATTATCATGCTTTGACTATTAACTTGTATCTACCTTGAATCAACGAACTCTCAAATATGAATATAAAAGTGCCTCACTCACATGTCATCAATATACAAAAGAGAATGACACGCTCAAGTCACATTGAACACCCAGTTAACTATATGTTTGTCAATCATCTAAAACTCTACTTCAAACACAATCAATAATCATGAGCTTTAAATCAAAAGGTCTTTTCGGGTTGTAACGTAGGTTATTTGGTCAAGGGTAAGATATATATGGGTTAAGTGGCTCGAATAAACAATCATACCATTCGAGTAAATAGACTACTCAATATACTCCACTCTTCCTCTCTAATCAACATGAAGTTTTTCTCAATCCCAAACCAAAACAATCTGTACACAACTCATAAATGCTCAAATCAAATTGCAAAGGAAGTACTTGACCATTTTTTTTCTTTTCTTCTTTTTTTTTTCTTAAGAGAGTTCAATTTTTTTCCAAACAAAATCAAACTGCAAGAACAATATTCTCTAGGTATAAATATTGGAGGTCATCCAAGTGTCCTAGAGTGGTTTCCCATTACTCATTACACGTCAAAATAAATCAACTAGTAAGAGGAGTAGAATCCCAACAATTCGATCTGCGAGCTCTCTTTATTATCATTTTTTTTCTTCTTCTTTTTTTTCTTTATTTTTTTTTCGGTCAAACACAATAAATGCAACTCAATCACACCTCATTCCATACCCAATCATCCAATAAATAACTCCGTTATCCCCATACATCCCAAATATCAGTCAACTCTCAAAATAAATAAGATAAACCGGTCGACAAGAAAAAGGCTTAAGGCTCAAACGGGCTACTAGTGGAAAATATTTTTAAGGACAAGGAACAAGGTCAAACGAGCTAAATTCAAAAACCGCCTAAATCATCTTAAAAGCTCAAAATCATCAATGCATTTTTTCAAGTGTAGAATCAAGGCAAATTCTAATAACTCGGGTATTCAATTGACACTCACAGACAAAGAATAAAGGCTCAAATCTCACTAGGCTCAATATATCGTTAATCTAAGGCTCGCAAGCATTTTCATCTAGGCATGACTTTTACAATCCCATCACAATTTCTCAGTCACATCAAATCGCAATTCACCATTCAAGTTATACATACCATCATCAACCCGAAAGCCCAAAATACACAAAAAACTGACTCATAATAAATCCTACTCCTAAAAAGCAAATAAACGTGCTCTACTCAATAAAGACATAAGAAATAAAAATAAACTAATGTAACCTACATGAAATGCAAGATAAATGAGATAAGAACCTAAGATATGCCGCACCCCTCCCCCAAACTTATTCTTTCGAGAAAAAACAAATTTGAAAAAAAAAGTGGTATATCTTAGGGGACTAACTTCCTGTAAATCACAGCGGAGGAGGGGGAAAATTCCCCTCGTGTCTCTGCATCCAATCGAACAGCTACTGGAAACCGCTGTTCATCCGCTCCTCCAGCCGGGTCGCAGACGCACGGTTCTCATCCCGCATGCCCCGTACGTCCGTCCTAAGCTCGCACATCTCTCGCTCGAGCGTCATCATCCGCTCCTCCATGTCCGGCTCTCGACGCCTCTGCCTCTGCCTCTGCCTCTGCTGCTGCTGCTCAGCTGCCCGTGAGGACTCCGTTCTGTCTTCGCCTACCGGCTGCTTGCGTACTTCGCCGTCACCCTCGTACCTCACAAGGGCTTCCTCATCTTCGCCCTCAAAGGCGGCCATCTCATCCTCCTCCTCATCCTGGGCTGCCCGGTCATAGATAGTCGGTCGCGGGGCGAGCTTCCGGAGGGACCCCACCGGTCGTCTCTCAGCCACAACCCGTCGATGCTCGGCGGTGTCCATCTGTCAATTCTCCAACCGGTGGACTCCAGTCAACTGTGGGAAAGATAAAGGGAAATTGTCGTCCTCCTTCTGTAGGAAGAACATGTTGTCGCTCATATCCGTCTTCAAATAGCCCATGTTCACTAGGGCCGACAAGTTCAGCAAGTTCGGTCCCGGGACTTGCTCCCAATCAGTGTGGCTAATCCCAAGTTGGTCGGCAATCATCGTCACAAGTCCTCCACATCAGATCACATCCGTATCTGCCCGGCTCAGGCGGAGCAGATGGTCGCCTACCAAACGTCCGATCCCAGGCTTCTTCCCCGTCATCAGACACCAAAGTATAAATACCTCGGCCTTCGTGATATTACCGCTCTCCCGACGTGCGAACACCGTACTCGCCAATACCCGGTGCATGTAGCGGAGCACCGGGTTGCATATGTCTGCGGCCTTCATGGCCCCGCGCGCGAAATCGAGAGCGCCAACCCCGGAGGGCAGTGTAATGGACCGCCAAAAATCAGTCACGTCGTAGTGCTCGGTATCCACGTACGTGACCCCTCCACTAAAACATCTCGCGAGATCCTCCTCGTCGAGGCTCCACTGCCGGTTGTCTAACTGAAAGGTAAGCTTCTCAAACTGAACCAACATGGGCTTCTTCGTCTTGTTCAAGGTGCTGAAGAATTCGAGCACCATTCTCTTGTACATCGTTGGACGAGTCTCAAAGGCCCTCGCTAGCCCGAGTCGGTCCATAAGAGGCACCACCGCCTAACATATTCCTAGCACTCGCTCGGTGGCCGCGTCCGGGTATCGAGTTGGCTTGATAGCCATCTTCGCAAGCCGGGTCCATCTAGCTCTCTGCCAGTC